CTATTTAAATCACAGCTTAATAGTCAAGATTAATGTATTAAGGTTTTAATACGCCCTTCATAGGACTCTGGGATCTTTTGTATGGTCCAAGCCTGTGATAACTTTTGTCACTTTACTTTCTGCCTTTGTGTCTTATTTTGTTGGTTAGAGTTTATTGCTGTCACCCTCTGGTCCTGATGTCAATTGGGTTGGGGGCTACAGGGTGAGATTTGAGAGTGGAAACTAATTTCAGGTATATTTATAGAGTGAATGGGCTTCTTTATCTTAGGTTTTTGTTTTTTGATTGGAAATAAGCTCTCAATGGTGTGAGATGGCTGTTTTGCTCCCTGGAGGAAGGGTCTTCTTTACTAACCAGTGTTGGATTTAGGGGCGCTTGCTGATCTAATGGAGGAAGTGCTCAGTCAGAAGTACATCTGCCATAGCAACTTCACTTGCAAGTGGCTTAAACAGGTGAAGCCCTCTCTCACACACACCTGCACACTCACAGCCACACACCCACACTCATACTCACACACTCACACACACTTACACACTCATAGGAACACGCATGCGAGCTCCCATACTTGAGCACAATGCACTCACAAACACACATGCATGCACACTCACACACATGCATTCACAGTACACACATGCACACTCACCCACACATACACAACACTCACCCACACACCCACACTCACACCCACACAGCCTCTCACACGCACACCCACACACAACTATACACACTCACACGCAACACCTGTATGCTCACACCCACCCCACACTCACACACATGGTCACATATACACTTACCCACATGTACGCACACTCACACACATTCCCACACTCACACAATGCTCATACACACTCACATCGCACACCCTCACGCCCTCACACACACTCCCACAACCCTCTCACATGCACACACTCCCACACTCACTCCCACTCCCACAGCCCATTCACGTACATAACACTTATACCACTTGCGTGTACACACACACACACACACCACACACACACACACACACACTTTTTCATGCACACACTCAAGGGCAGGGCAGGCACTTTTTGGGGCTGTGGCAAATCTGATCCACGAACTCTCAGCAGCCCTGGCTTCCTCTGTAGTTCACCATCTGTGTCCCTGGGATGTGGTCTTCATCTTTGTGATCCAAGATGGCAGGTAAAGATCCGGCCATTACTGCATTCCCAGCAGTGGCTGGGGAGGAAGGGAAGAGAAACTGTCCTTAAAGAATAGTTCAAAAGTTCCCTGAATTAGCCAGTGAATTAGATTACCTGAGATAATCAAGTTCTTTTTTAAAAAAATTATTAGCATATAATAGTTGTACAGAGGGATACATTGTGACATTTATACATGTGCTTACAATGTATCTTAATTAAATTCACCCCTCCATCGTTCTCCCTTTTCCTCCTTCACCCCCTTCTTAGAACAATTTCAACAGATTTCATTGTTCTATTTTCATGTATGGGTGCAAAACACATCTACCATATTCACTCTCATTTTCCCTTTCCTGTGCCCACCCTGCTACCCACCCCCAGAAAAGACCCATTTTTTCCTTCTGCCCTTCATTTTTTAAAAGTGTATATTGATAGTCCAAGGGTATATCTTGGTACTTCAGGTCTATATGTATCGTGCTTTAGTCAGCCTCTAAAGAGAAAAGGTTTATTAAGGCTCACGGTTTTGGAGGTTCCAGTCTGTAATTGGTTGACCCCATAGCTTTGGGCCTGTGGTGAGGTACACATCATGGTGGGAGCAGGTGGTAGAACAAAGTCTCTCGCCTTGTGACCAGAAAACAAAAGAGAGGAAGAGGAAGGGACTGGGCTCCCACTGTCTTCTTTAATGTCACACCTCTAATGACCTCAGGACCTCTCAAAGCCCCCGCTTCCCAACAGCACCACCCTTATCCTTCCACATGTGGGCCTTTGGAGCACAGTCACAATCCACACTACAGTACTCCCTCATGACCTTGGGCTTATATCTTTTTTTTTTTTTTTTGGCCTTATCTAGTTGTACTGTATGGGAGTCTGGAAAATGTGGTCCTTATTTCAGGGAGCCAAGAACCCCTGGTGCTAGCAGTGGAGTCAAGATATTGGGATAGCCAGCTGATGATGGCCACTGATGGGCATAGCTACTTCTTGCAATGCCCTGGGCCATAGCCCAGCCTTCCACGTGGACTGCTGGAGACCCTCATGCTGGGGTCTTTGTGCCAGGAGTCCAGCATCTCTTCCTTCCTTCCCTCTGGATTAGTGTAGTGGCCCCAACACTCCTCCTTTCCCTTGAGGTTAGTCTCCTCCTGCATTGTCCTGCCTGGCTAGCTCTGTCCCTTGGCCTGTGGCTCACTATTTCTGTGTCCTAATTCCTCATTTCTGGGCTGTGTGGTGATGGTCTACAGCCTTGCTGAAGGCCTAGGGTGAGAGTATTCTGGGTGAGGGCTGCCAGTGAGGATGTTTTGAAAACATTGACCCCAAAAGGGGGTTGTCAGATGGGCTCTGGGTGAAGGGTAGAGCTTTTCTTCCTTGACTTGACTTGTGGGGATTTTCATGCTTGGTAGGTACAGGTGAGAGGTGGATGTGAGAGGCAGTGAGCTGAGTGCTAGAGCCACGGGATAGGGGTAGCTGGTTGGAGTGATGATGGTGGAGTGAAGGCCACACAGTGAAGAAGAAGCCTGACCCATAGGTCCTGTTTACCCCAGGTGTTATCCTTACCTATCTGAGATTGAGATAACTTCACTAACTGTCTGACATGAGGTCAGGCCTCCGAGACCCCTGGGTGGGTCTTCTGGGACCCTACCTGGACTGCCTTGAGACTGCACATGGCTCATCAGGCCCAGGAGCCATGGTTTTCCTTGTGACTCTGGGGCTGACTGGGAGAGCACTGAGCTTTGCCTGTGCTTCCTCAGGGACCTTCCCCTGTGCCTTTGGAATTGGTGCAGTGGCTTCTGTTTTCCAACCTGGCCAGCACTTTTGAGCCTCAGAGCCATAAAAGTCTATGGAAGCTTCTTGGTGCCTGTGTTAGAGACGCTGCCCAGTGTTTCCATTAGCACGTGGTTCCTGTAGCATGGCTGGTTTGCCTGCAGTTGCCTCTTTCTGAGGGCCACATTTTGGGCCTTGTCTACACAGTCAAAGAAGGGGCCTGATGGCCTCTCAGTGTTGGACACACTTGTGCTTCCATGCCCTGAGCAAGAAGACCTTTCTGTTCATATGTAATGTGGTCTGGACACTGCAGTGTCCTCTTCTCATATGACCCAACATGGAGAGTGGTCACAGGTGTTCTGCCTTCCTGCAGCATCTGTTCCTGTGTGTGAGGGTCCAACCAGCCAGGAGCTGCATTGGGATGATGGTAGGTACCGCAGTAGGGCCACACTGATATGGCCCTCATATCCCTTCTCCACAGCCCTCATATCCCTTCTCATATCCCTTCTCAGGCAGGACCCTCCCAGACTCCCAAATTCAACCCTGCCCTCCAATAGGTCTGGGCCTGACCTTCCTTGTTCTCTGAAGTAAGGAGATAACTTCTGTGCAGGCTTCACAGTGTGTGCATGATGGTGTATGGTCTCAGCCTGAGCCCAGCACATGCACTGCTATCAAAGTGGGTAGCAGAGGACTGAGGCCCTCATATCACTCCCCAGATTCCATTGGGCTTGCAGGGTCTCTGTGGTTGCTGTCCTGATGGATCCTGAGCACAGAGGAATGGGCAACTGTGCTCCTGAGAAAGTCACACAACAGTGGGCCAAGGTGTGCAGGGACTGTTAGTTCTGAGAGTTGCATGGTGGCCTGTGGTGGGCAGGGAGGGAATGTGTTGGAGGGCGTGGCTACCATTGAGGTTCTGAGGAGGAGGAGGTGGAGGAAGAGGAAGAGGGGGAGGAAGAAGAGGAAGAGAAGGAAGGGGAGGAGGAGGAAGAAGAGGAGGAAGGGGAGAGGAGGAGGAGAAGGAGGGGAAAGGGGGGAGGAGGAGGAAGAGGAAGAGAAGGAGGAGGACGAGGAGGAGGATGAGGGAGGTGAAGGAGGAGGAGAAGGGCCAGCTGCTGGCCCACACAAACCACAGCCAGGGGTCCACACAGGAGCCTCCAGAGACCAGGTGGTGATGAATCTTCAACTCCTTCAGCCCCTATGTCCTCCTCATCAGTGGGATGCCCCCACCCCGCTGTACTTCTGTTTTTTCTTTCTGAGGTGGCGGGAGAGGGCGTGAGGGAAAAGCGGGGGCCCTGACAGTAGGGATCCAGTAGCATATGCTTTCTTAGACACAGGGCTGTGCCTGGTAGGCCAGGGGCCAGCCTGGGCTAAAGGTCAGGGTAGGTCACCTGGAAGGTGAGAGCCAGAGTCCTCTTCATGCCCTTGGTCCAGGTGAATGAAACTGAAACCCAGAAAGGGGAAGGATTCTTTGGGGTGACACAGGTCTCCTGAAAAAAACCCAACAATTTTATATTTTCTATTGGGGGAAGAAAGAAAGTACTTGACCTACACAGATCAGGGAAAAATAAGACAAAGAGCACAAGAAAATGCCACTTTGTCCAAGACTGTGTCTTTATGAAAGATCAGTGGGTCCCTGTGTGCCCTGGGAGGATGGTTACTTCTGTAGACCAATATGAAGAATTCTTTCCAGGCTGTGTTGGAGCAGTGGGGAGCAGGGAGAGGGGCCGTGTGGGGGCTGTGGTGGCATTTACTGGGCTGTGATACCAGTGTGCATTGAAGCTGCGGGTCCAGCAGGTTAAGACTCAGCATCTTGACTCAAGGAGCAGCGTTCAAGGACTGCACACCTAACTGTGCCCTTTGAAGGCCAGGCCCATGTCAGCAGCACTTTTGGAGTGTCCAGGTCTGGACATGGGCCCACTGAGGGTGTGGGGGTCAGCAGGTGTACAGCCTGGATGTCTGTTCGCCACACCTAAGGAGGGTCTGCAGCACCTTTCCGAGGGCAGCCACTCACCCTACCCTGTTTGGGCAGGGCACTCCAAGGGAGAGGGGGGAGTCCTTACTGTCTGATGGAGGCCTTCTCTCCTGTCCAGGAGCGGTTGCTTATGAGCCTCCTGCCCCGGAATGTTGCCATGGAGATGAAGGAGGACTTCCTGAAGCCCCCTGAGAGGATTTTCCACAAGATTTATATCCAGAGGCATGACAACGTGAGGTAGGGCTGGCACTGACCTGGCCAGTGGCAAGCTGGGAGGGATGTTGTATAGAGGTGATGAGGGAAGTGGGATGGAGCAGGTGGGGAGGTGGGTAGTGGATGGAGCAGAGATGGGGGAAGGAGATAGGAAGGAGGAGGGGAAGAGGAAGGAGGCTGATGAGGAGGTGGGGAGGGGTAGGAAGAGGTTGGAAGGTCACAGTGGTTCTAGGAGAAGAGGGAAGGTGTGATCAGGAATTTGCCCTTGAGGGAAGCAAATCCCACAAGAATGGGCTGTGGCTTTCTTAGGTGACACATGCCACAGCTCTCTGTCCTCTTTGAATACCCTTGCCCTCCTGTGTTGACTGTAGAGGGTCAGAATTCTGTCCCTAAAATTGGGATTGAACAGTGTGACATATTGGGATGGGTATTTGCTCATTTGTGAAAAATAGGTGAGCATTATTCCTGTTGTTGCCAGGGTTTGGGATGGACCTCTTCCTCCTTCTCTTTTTATCTCATGGCAGTGCCCCATTTTACAGGTGAGGAAACTGAGCTCTCAGTGTCAACTGACTTGCTGTAGACATGCTGAGGGTTGCTTTTCTGTTTTTAGAGCTTCTATTAGAAGTATTTATTTTACTGTGTTGTAAATTCTTCTTAAAAAGACTTTTCATTGAAGTATAATGCGCTAAGAGCAGTCAAGTATCCCCTGCTTGTGATTGACACTTTGCATAAATGGAAACTGACTCCAGTGAAATGGACTTCAATGAACTACATGACAGAATTAACATCTGTGTTCATTGTGGCTCTGTTCACCATAGCCAAGTTATGGAATTGACTTAGGGGCCCACGAACAGATGAATGGATAAAGGAGATGGGGTTGTGGGGGCCTGAAGCACTTTCCTTTTCAGCTAGTCTTTGCTAGCTCTTCTGGGTGTTGGGTATCAGGCCTTCTTGCTGTAGAACCCCTGAAGACATAAAGGAAAAAAGGAAAGACCTCTGTATTATGTCAGGCACCATGAGTTGGGTCACTGTGAGCCAGTACTTGTCACCAGAATGAGTTGAGGCTTCTGAATCCATCAGGGTAGAGCCATCACAGTGTGCCAAGCCAGCATGGGTAAGCCCTTCCTGAATGGAAGCTTACAAGGTCCAGCTCTGAGCATATGTGTGAGCTCATCCACTCCCCATCATCATGCTGCTCCATGAGGACCCATGTTGTCCTCCTTCTACAGAGGAGGGTGCTGAAGTGGTTTGGAGTCAAGGCTCAGGTGTTTGGAAAGTAGCTCTAGAGCCATCATTGGAGCCCAGGATGAGTTCAGAACTGGAGCTCAGAACCTCCTTGCTAAATACTTGTTTCTGTTGAATATCACCACATTCCCATGAACTGCTGACATTACTATCTCCATTTTCAAGGTACACTGAGTGAAGCATGTGAATAGAACTCACTGGACAGTGAGTGGCTGGGCTGGACCTACAGTTAGCTGACACTAGTACTTGTCTTTGTGTTTCTTATTTCACCCACCACCTCTTGTTACCGGGTAAGGATGTGATACAGCAACCCCTGGGGAGATGGTCAGACCACCACAATGATGCCCAGGGAACCCTAAGGATACCAGAGCCTCTGTACACTGCAGAAAGTCAGAAGCCTTCTGTTGACTTGAGCTGGTGGACATCATTGACCTTCTTCCTGCTGAGCACACAGCAAGAAGAAGACAAATCCCAGCTCTTCACTGTCCCCTGGGAGGGAAGAGTTGTTCAGTGTGACCAGTCCTCCAACTTCCATGAGGTCACTCATGGAACCAGCATCTAGCTGAATTTCCTAACTTCAAATCTTATTACAAAGTTGTAGTAATCAAAACAGTATGGCACTGGCATAGAAACAGACACATTAGACCAATGTCTAATTGTCTGAGCTCTGAAAAGCTCAGAAATAAACCCAGACATATAATCCTCAAAAGAGTGCCAAGGGAACAAAGTAAGGAAAGGGTAGTATCTTCAATAAGCAATGTTGAGAAATTAGAAATTAATAGCAGAAGAAAAACTTGAAAACTCACAGTACATGGAAATTAAACCACATACTCAGGAACAATCACTGGATCAAAGAAGGAAATGAGAGAGAGTACCTTTAGGCATATGAAAACGAAAACAACAAACCCAGACTCATGGCATGCAGCAAAAGCAGTAATAAGAGGGAAATTCATGGTGATAAATTATTAATGTAATGTAAGAGAAAGATCTCAAACCAGTACCTAACCACACCTCAAGAGCTAGAAAGAGAATAAACTAAGACCAAAGCTATCACAAAGAAATAGCAAAAAGCAGAAATAAATGCAAACAAAAAGAGAAAAAACAGTAGAGACTAAGAGTTGCTTTGTGAGAAGTAAACAAAATTGACAAATCCTTAGCTGGATTAAGGAAAAAAGAGAGAAGACTGAAACTCACAAAGGAAAGAGATACTCTAACTGATGCCACAGAAATGAAAAGGACCAGAAGAGACTACTGTGAATAACTATATGCCAACTATGTTAGTCAGGCTTTTTGTCACGTTGACAAAATACCTTACCTAAGCAACCTGAGAGGAGGAAAGATTTATTTTAGCTCATGGTTTCAGAGGTTTGAGTTCATGGTCACTTGTCTCCATGTTTCTGGGCCTTTAGTGAGGTGGCACACCATGGCAGGACATCATGGCAGTAGGAGTGTATGGCAGAGGCAATATTTTTTTATGGTGTCCAGGAAGCAGAGAAAAGATAAGAAGGGGCCAGAGCAAGATATGCCCTTTGAAGTCATGCCTTTGGTGACCTACTTCCTCCAACCAGCCCCTATTACCTTCCAATAATCTAATCAAACTTTGAATCCAACAGTGGATTCACCCTCCATTAGACAGTTAGAGCCCTCATGATCTAACTGTCTGTGGGAACACCTTCACAGATATACCCAGAGATGTACTTTACTAATGTCTTAGATATCTCTCAACCCAATGAAGTTGAATGTCAAGATTGACCATCACACCAACGAACTGGAAAAATCTAGAAAAACCTGCTAAATTCCTAGAAATGTGCAACCTAGAAAGTCTAAATCATGAAGACATACAAATTTTGAACAGACTTATAAATAGTATCACGATAGAATCGGTTATCAAAACCTTACAACAAAGAATTTACCAGGTGGCCTCACTGGTAAATTCTACCAATTATTTAAAGAATTAATGACAGTTCTCAAATTTCTTCAAAACAATTGAAGAGAAGGGAACACTTACAAACTCCTTTTATGAGACCAGCATTACGCTGCTACCCAATCCATAAGAAAAGAAACTTGCTGGCTAATATTCTTGACGAATATAGATGAAAATATCCTCATTTAGATACTAGTGAATGAATCCAATCACCCACTAAATAAAGCATAAATCATGATGAAGTGGAATTTGTCCTTTGGAAGGAAATATTGTTTAACAGATAGAAGTCAATTATTATAGTACACCACATTAAGAGAACAAAGACTGAAATCACATGATTTCTCACTAGGTACAGAAAAATATTGATAAAATTTAACACTCCTTGTCGATTAAAAATGCTAAACGACCTAGGGTAGAAGAAACATTCCCCAACAAATAAGAAAAGTACATACTGATCATCACATGCAGTAATAAAAGACTAAAAGCTTTCCCGCTTAAGATTAAGAACAAGGCAAAGATGGCTAGTCTCACCATGTCTGTTAACCATGGATGGGAAGTCCTGGCCAGAGTGATGAGGCAAAACTGAGAAATATGAGACATCTAAATTGGGAAGGAGGAAGTGGTATCGTTTTGTTTGAAGAAGACAAGTTCTTATGGGAATAAAACCCTAAAACTACCATAAAAAGCTGTGTTGGAACTAATAAATGAATTTAATAAAGTTGCAGGGTACAAAATCAACCTACAGGAACTAGTGGTGTTTCTGTAAAACAGCAACAAACTATCTAAAGAGGAAATTAGAAAAACAATCCCATTTACAACTTCCTCAGAATAATAAAATATCTAAGAATAAGCTTAGGAAGTAAAAAATTTGTATACTCAAAACTATAAGGCATTGGTGAAAGAAACTAAATATGACACAAATATATGAAAAGTTACCTCATATTCATGGACTGAAAAGCATTATTATTAAAATGTCTTTGCTAAAAATGAATCTGCAAGCATAAGCCAGTGGCTCATGCCTGTAATCATAGCTACTTGGGTGGCTGAGGCCAGGAAGATCTTGGTTTGAGGCCAGTCTGAGGAAAAAAAAGTTTGCATGACCTTATCTCAACAGAAAAAAGCTGGGCGTAGTGGTATGCACCTGTCATCCCAACAATGGCAGGGAATTTTAAAAAAGGATTGTGGTCCATGCTGGCCTGGGCAAAAGCAAGACCCTTTCTCCAAAGTAACTAGAGCAAAAAGGGCTGGACACGTGACTCAAGTGATAGAGCTTCTGCCTAGCAAGCATGAAGCCCTGAGTTCAAACTCCAGTAACTCCAAAAAAAAAAAGGAAATGACAAAGCCCCCAAAAATCTAATCTGTAGAATCAGTGGAATTTTAATTAAAATCTCAATGGCTACAAAAAAAGAAAAAGAGAAAGAAAAAAATTCTAAATTCATTTAAAACCATAGAAAGATGGCAAATAGTCAAAGCAGTCTTGAACAAATTATATTACAAAGCCATGTAACCAACACAATGTGGTGCTGGTATAAAAATAGACATGTAGATCAACAGACCAGAATAAAGAGCTCGGAAATAAACACACATGTATGGTAAATAGTCCTCAAAAGAGTGCCAAGGGTATGGAAAGAATGGCTATTGACAAATAAACAAATGACAAATGCTGGTGAAGATGCAGGTGAGAAAGGGACCCCTAAATACCGTTGGTGAGAATGTAAATTAGTACAACCACTATGGAAATCAGTGTGGAGGCTCCTCAAAAAACTATAACTACAACTGCCATATTAAAAATAATTCTACCATCCGATCATTCTACTACTGAGTATATGTCCAAAGGAAATAAAGTCAGTATGTT